TCATGTATTTTAATGTAGGTACTAAAATAATATTTGATGTATGCTATAACCATAGATATATACAACAACTAGATAGCCGTCATTATACTACATTTATGACCACTGTTGAAGTTGGCCGCCATTTATAAAGCAGGCAATGTTTACATTTATTTTACATTTATTCATATACATTTATAAATATATAATTATATATGCATATTAGTATATTACATATTATATACTGTGATAATATTATTTTGTAAACAATTCTTGCTTTGTAAATTCGGTCGCCTTCGATGATAAGAAGGAGCAGGCTATCTAGTTATAATCTATGAATATAATACCTATAATATTTTCCATTTGTATAAATGGTTTGTATAAGTACTATTTTTGAATATTTTGCATAATATAGAATATTAGAGAATATATTGATTTATTATATAGATTTTCGAAATTTGTGTTGCATTGTCGTAAACAATGTAGATTATATATTTATATGCCCGATAATAGTGATATATATACGTATTATCAATTATCATTGATTATGTATAGTACCTATATTAATGTTTAATGAATGGTATTATATATTTATATATCAACGTATATTCGATAATTATAAGTTATAAGTTTATAACCCATATAGTAATTTTATAGTCTGTAATTAAAGATGAAAAATGTGTTAATTAAAAAACGTCATTAATCTAATTTAATAAAATAAATAAAATATTATACCTATATGGATATATATTATTTAAACTTTAAAGTAGCATAATATTTTAGTGGTATTATTTTTTCTTACCTAGGTATATGTTCCTATTTAAATTAGTATTTTGTTGTATTATGTACTTTATTCTTTTACATATAAAGGCATATATTTAATTTAAGAGAATATTATTATATAAAAGCATATTTGTTGCATATTTCATTATGGTTTTTAAAGAATATTAATATAGTATTTTCAACTTTTTAAGAGTACATTAGCATCTTATTTTGGCTATTTTAAGAGAATATTATTCCGGCCTCTATAGTAATTACTAATTATCGAGATATAATAGTTATAGGGAAGCTGATTTCTCAATAAATTAAAAAAAGAAAACTACTTATTTTTATCAGTTGTAGGAATTGGTAGGTACGTTATTTAATGTAACATTTGGACATACCTACCTACACCAGCTGGTTTAATTGAAAATGTTATATGAGTATAAATTAGTAATGTATCGATTTATTTTAGTTTATTATACTTAAAAATTAAAATACAAAGTTTCTCATACCACGCTTAGACATGAGAATTAAATGCGTTTGATATCAAAGGACCAATATGATTTAATATCTATTTTTAAAACTATAATAGGGGGTACATTTTTGACATTTTGTTTATAGGTTAACCTTCAGTCATTAATAATTAAAAAATACAATATAGAATTTAAATAATTATTAATAACTTGGTTTAATTACTATTTCTAAAGATAAGCTTGTGTTGGAAGTAAAGAGTTACATAACAAATTTACAATCACAATAGATATATATTTATATATAAATAAAAAAAATTAAAGAATTAAAAGACATTTTACATAATATAATATTATGAATATTTTACGTTCCAATCATAATGAGAATTAATAATTTTACAAATTTAAAAAAAAAAACGAAACATGGAAGCTCCCAAAATATTATGTTTGTGTGTGGATGTGTAATTGTCGCTAAGCACTAAAAACTCGTTGGCTGGTATCAAACAGTTGACTACAGTCAATCTACTGTTCTATGCTACAGTTCTAGTGTATTTATGATAACTTTTGCAGACGTCTTTCGAGAGACGCTTGTGAAGATGTATTTTTTCTTCGGCTATTGATTGGTTTGTATTGAATTTCACTTATTTTGTTCGTTTATCATAATATTATACTGATTAAAAAAAAAGAATTGGGTATAGACGGTACGATATATTATAATTATTTACCACACTTAAACGTTTATAATATTTATTTATGTAAATCAAATGTGGGGACGTTATACTTAGGTATATTTTCACATGGACAAATTTGAAATAATGCCACAGCCACGACCTGTCCATGACTTAGTTATGGTTGTATATAGACTTTATACAAAAACATCTGTTTGAGTAGGTATTGGAATATCCGACCATCAATATGGGAATATTGTTGTTTTAGTCTCTAGATATTATGTATATGTATAGATACAAATCCACAAATCAACTTTGGGGATTTTTTAATACATATATATCATATTAGTAAATTATATAAATATATAATAGTTAAAAAAAACCTTTGTGTTTCGATTTTCATAATTTATTTCGTCAATATATTATAGGATTCTTGAAATCATCACTATTGTGCACAAATTATATAACTAGTATGTCTAGTATACTGGGAGTGGCTTGAAGACTGCAGACTTCAGTGCAAATAAAGACCCCGAGGTTAGTTTGCTAGAATGAATTATGGGTAGTTTATTGATGGCTGATACATATTTTTAAGATAATTTGATATTAAATATTAATTAGTTATAGTTATCTAAATAGTAAAAATGAAAATCTGCCCGTTGGTAACCACATCAATGGATATGACTCATTTTTAAAAAACTATTTTTCGTAATACTCTAAATTAGGATTTTACTTGAAAAAAAATGAAAAAGTTGCTCAGAATATTGGAAAATTCGAAAAAAAAAATTGAAAGGTTTTTTTTAATTTGATTTCTCTATAAATTGTTTTTTATTTATAAATGGTTGCCAAGTTACATAGATACCTACTACCTATATAGTATAATTATTGTTATTATGATTTGATATAATAATTTAAACTTATAACTTTGACATTTGGTCTCTATATTTTTAATCTTTTGTTCATCTGAAGTTCATAGACTCAAAAACTACTGGACCGTTTTCAATAAAAAGTTATATCAATAGATTCCTTAAGACTTATTTTTAGGGTTCCGTACCTCAAAAGAAAAAAACGGAACCCTTATAGGATCACTTTGTTGTCCGTCCGTCCGTCCGTCCGTCTGTCAAGACCGTTTTTCTCAGGAACGAGTGGAGGTATCAAACTAAAATTTCTATATGATACTCGGGTCTACTGTCCCTGGAAGCTGTAGAAAAATCAACCTTCTAAGCCAACGCAATCAAAAGATACAGCCATTTAGGCCGCAAATTTTCGCAAATTTTCGAAACTCGCACGGGAATCAAAACCTATAGGGTACTTCCCGTGAACTTAGAATCTTGAACGTGACGAAGTCACGTCTTATAGTACAGATATAGGAAAAATTACGAAAACCATAAATTTTTAGTTTCATCATATAAAAATAAAATATTTTTGAAAATTTTGAAAATTTCAAAGTGACTACTTCTTATCTCATGAACGCGTTGAGGTATTAAATTAAAATTCATATTAAATACTTAAGTCTATAATACCTTTAAACTGTAACAAAATCAAACTTTTATGTCAAAGCAATCGAAAGAAATAATAACAATTTAAGCCGCGAATTTTCAAAATTTCATTTTACAATAAAAATACCATAACTATGACTCGATTGTCGTGTTGGTTGAACTTTTACTTATATACCTACAGGTTTGTACGGAACCCTCGGTGCGCGAGTCCAACTCGCACTTACCGGTTTTTTATTTCAATCCATATACCCAGCCCCCAGGTAGTTCACAAATGTTTTTTTTTCAGGTTACGAAAAATGAATATTTTATTTGTTTATTTATAGGAATGCCATTGATTGCATATTATATTACTATTATAATTAATAAAAATATGGTATAATATACAGTTTTTTAGAAATATATTTATAAAAAAAAACAAATCTTTGACAAGAGCAACTCTGGGCCGGGACAGCTATTTCTTAATAATAAAATTATATTTAACAGTATCAGTTTTATTATAATACCTATGATATGAATTTGTTATCGATAATTTTATTGGCTAGACCGAATTGTTTCACATATTCATCCAGTTATCAAGGGTTCATATATGGATGGGCATAAAATTGCTCTGCCACTGAGGTCCAGAAGACATGTTCAATGTTCATAATATCTAAACATGCGCCTCGAACAGGGATATACCATTTAGCCCATCTCCCGATATTCAACGGCCCTGTTAATATGGACATTGGACATGTATAGGCACAAACAAAAGCATAATATTATTATGCTTTTGTTTTATTAATATTATTAATACAACATGCACAAAAACAATACGATTACTAACATTCACGAAGAAGAAGAATAGGTCGGCATTAACAAGGCAACTGCTGAGGCTCGTTAAAATAGTAATTATATTTGTGACGTACTGCAGAGAAGCGAGACGAGAACGCCATAATAATCGAGCGTGAACTTTGAAATCGACCTTGGTGGCCTAGTGTTTTAATGAAAAATAAATTATTGCAAATAAATATTTATGAGTATTGTGCTCGTATATACGTATAGTGAGTCGCTAGATATTACCACTCATTTAGTTTGCCTCAAAGTGTATAAATAATATTATGGCAATTAACTATATAATTTATGTTATAATTATGTACCTTTAAATTGTAAGTTGTAACTTACCTATATAATATGACAATTATACAATAAAACCAATGCTACCGGGGTCGAACAGTCTTATTTTTTTAAATCTGAAAATTATATAACTTAAACTTGATATACATTTTCAAAATAAATTAGGTTTGCCTATAGTTAGATAAAATTTGAATTTTCAAAATTTTCTACTTAGGCCTTACTGCCTTAGTTCAATAAAATGCTAATATATTGTGAGCAAAATCTATAAATTAAGTTCAATTAATGTTTGAACAAAAGTTAAGTACTGAGCACACTTTTTCGGACAAAACGATATACAAACTACAAACGTACTATTATTATTCATACAAATCGTAAACTTTTACTGGTTACCTGTTTATTCGTTTAGTAATTTGCAATAATATTCTAATAATACAATGCATGATATCTATAATACGACACCTGCACTATACCTATCACTATTACACCTACATAATATTATTAAAGGCTTGTACGCGATGATGTCGATGTCACGGTTACTCTTGACGGTGCACGTTTTGGCGATTTCGGCGACGGCGGTGGTGTCGTACTACCCGTCGGATCTCGCGCTCCAGGACAGCAATCTGAAGGACCAGTTGAAGGCGCAGCAGGACGGCGGAAAAGCTGACGACGGCCTCGCCGTGGCGTACTTACCAGCCTACGCGATACCCGACGGGTCACCGGTGGACCCTTGTGTGACGTGCAGGCCTCGTCGGACCACGCACAATTGCCGGCGAATCACCGGGGACAGGTGTCCGGGTCGATCTAGCCCGACCTGCACCACGAAACGCTGCAGTTCACCTCAATCCTCAACCGGACCTAAGAAACGCTGCAGTTCACCTCAATCCCCAACCGGATCCAAGAAACTCTTCAGCAACTCTAAGTTGTACCCTCGTTCTGCTGCCGCTGAAACGAAACGCAGCCCCCCTTCATCCATCACCCCCGTCAAACCAAACCGGAATGATGGACCGTAACGTTTCGAGTCCAACGTCTTGTGATAAATAACTCAACGCGTCCTTTATATTATTATATTAATTGTGATATTATGTGTAGATGCCTATTAATACTATTTTGATACATATCAATAATCATAATCGAGTGTTAGAAATGCTATGCTTTTTTTTTAGATACCTACGAATTACAATTTTATTTTTAATTGAAATACAGTATTTGTATGCATAGAAGGGGTGATCTTAAATTCATATTATAAAAAGGGAAAAGTTGGTAACCTCTCTGTTGTATAGTTGTATAGTCAGGGCCGTATTTGAACATTTTGAGCCCCGGGGCAACATATTTGTCCGCCCCCCAAAAACTTATTTTTTTAAATGTAAGGTCCCTGTTATTTTGGGTCATCATTTATGACTCATAAACGTCGTTAGAATTTGAAAAAAATTTTTTGGAAACCTTTATTTTTCCTTTGTTAAGTACAATCAGTGATGATGCTAACAGAAATGTTCGGTCGGACTTAGTTTTAAAGTTATTATTATTGTTAGTATAAAAATAGATTTGAGAGAATGTCATCGTAAAATAAACTTAGGAGAAATTTCCACCAAATCACAATACACCAGGAAAAAAACATTTTACATAATTTCAAAGTTATAACTATGTTAGCTTAATAATAATAAAAAGTTCATCAAAATTTACCGCCCCCCCAAGTTCCACCAGGAGGGGCCCTCCTTGCCCCCCCCCCCAAATACGGGTCTGTGTATAGTAGGTGTCGACTGTCAAGTATTCGAGTGTAAACCTCGTCATTGAGTAAGTCACTATAATATATGCGTTCAATTTGAAGTCAATGATAAATTATTAAACAATTTTATGAATTTATAACTACAAATTAATCTGCACATTTTCATGATTATGAGTTATGATAAATTTAATAAAAATTCTAACTTTAAATGTTTATAAAAAAATATCGAACAATTTATGAAGAGCCTTGTACTCTATTTTAAAGGTTTTTGAGTTTTTGACACAGTGATGAATTTTTTTCAACATTTATAGGAAAAAAAAAAAACAAAACGAATCTAAAATGTCAAATGCTTATATTATATAGCTAAAAAAGAGTGAAAATATTTTTGAAAATTTTATGACGTGTAGGAAATTATAATACGAAGACATAAACATTTGGTGAAAATGTCTAAGCCTATCTACGGTTATTTGTTTTTGGGTTACAACAAAAAAACAAAATTAATTTTGCCAAATACTAGTTTTGCGTACCTATACAAGTTTTTTGTTTATCCTTGTTTTTTTTAAAGTTATAGGAATTATGTATTTACTTTTGACCACCCTAAGTACCAACTAGATCCAAGTTCCTACCAAAAACCAACCTCAAAATTGAAAATCAAAGTATTTATACCACGATTTAAGATATACTAGGTATACATATAATATCATAAATTGTAATTTAATAGTTGATAACAGACAGAAAATAATTAGGTACATCATTGTAAAACACAGATAATATATAGATACTATAATATATAATATATGTATAGTAGTATATATCTGTGTTGTAAAATAAAAAAAAAAGGTGGGTAAGTGGATGTCGCTCTGCTGTACAGTAGGTTACAAGTGGGTCACTGTATAATGGATGGTATTAAATTTGAATCCAATGATACAATATCATTGTATAAGAAAAACGATTCTGAGCGAAGACGGTATGTCAGTCTAGGTTTAAGACATACGTATTATATACATATCTATGGTATTAAAAAAAAAATTGACCTATAATAAATTCCAAATTAATCATATCACAATATCCATTAGGTACTTATAACACGTTATACATCAATAACAAACCCTGATACTATCATAGATATATAATATAGTGTATTTTAGAAGTTTCAAGTACCCACGAATAGTATTATACACTCACAACAAAATAACTAAAATAGGTAGGTATGCTAGGTTTTTGATTATGTAATTTCGTCCCAAATTTGAACTTAAAATGTCTGTAAAAAATAACTGTGCTCATATATATTTTAGATTTTTTGGCTACAGTATGAACTATTTATGAGAATCTTTTTTTTAAATTTTCAATCCTTAGCTATAAAAACTGAACATTTTATAATTTATTAATTACGATGATTGATAATTTTCGAGATTTTGATAAATTTTGTCAAAATGCGATCTTTAAATGCTTATAAAAAAAAATTGTGCCTAAGTATTTTTAATATTTTTCAACTGATATTGTAACAATATATCAGGAGCCTTGTATTAAATTTTTACACTTTTTGGCAGAACAGATAAAACTTTATTTATTTATAGAAAAAAAAAACTAAAAAAATTGAAAACTGAAAATGTCCGTAAACGGCTCAAAAAAGATCAAAATATTTTCAAAATTGTATGGTGTATAGGAAATGCTAATATAAACATTCAGTGAAATTTTCATGTATCTACAGTAATTCGTTTTTGAATTACAACAAAATAAGGAAATCGCCACATGAGAAATCGAGTGAATATCCAATGTTGTAAAAATTTGAATTTCAAAAGCTCATAAAAATTTAATTTGACTTTTTTATAGAATTTTTTTTTTTTGATAAATGTAGGAAATCTCATAAGGAATCTTGTATTACATTTTCATATCTTAGATTTAAAAAGAAAAATTTTTATGAATTTCTAACTCGAAATAATTTGCAAATTTTCGTGATTTTTCCATATTTTGTCATTTTTTGAACTTTAAATGCTTAAAAAAAAAACTGTGACTAACGATTTTTAATATTTTTCATCTGTCTTTGAAACAATATAGTAGGACTGTAGGAGCCTTGTATTAAATTTTCAAGTATTTTTACTCAACAAATAAATTTTTATTGATATTCATAAAAAAAAAAACTAATAAAATTGGAAACTGAAAATGTTCCTAAACAGTTCAATATAAATCAAAATATTTTGAAAATGTTACCGTGTACATAAAATGAATATATATAATAAACAACCAGTGAAAATTTCATGTATCTACGGTCATTCGTTTTAAAGTTATACCAAAAACCAAAATTGATTTTTTGGAAAACCGATTTTGCGTAAAAATTCCCGTTTTTCCTTAATTTTTCTTTTGTTTTTCCCGGCGCTTTTGAAAACTACTGGGAAATTTAAATTTTGACCTCCCCAATGCACCAACGATATTCACTTTCCAATCGAACAAGATACTGAAGTTGAAAATCGAAGCATTATTTCGACTACTTATCGTGTACACAGACACAAAAAAAAAAAAAAAAAAAACACACATCATTGTAAAATCAATACATTCATCGTTTCACTCAGAATCTAAAATAAATTAAAGTTTTATTATACACAGAATTTTCATCGTGTAATAAAATAGGATCATTAAAGTAGCGCACGCTTGTTTGTGATTAGGGATCACAGGTGGGTGAAGTGGATCGTTAATCATCCGTAAGATCGCACCGCATTAACCATTTATAGGTGATTGGTGTTACAACATTATAATTTTATTTATAAATTAATATCAATCCGCCGTAATATAAATTCTAATACTATTTTATACTATTGTATCAATAAATTAAACAGGGACACCATGTATCATGTATTTTATACGTAGATTAATGGCTAATTAAATTCAACACAAAAAATGACATATTCATTTTCTGATTTTCAGCGCCAAACCGAATTTATTTTTACATATTATTTTAGGCTAATAAAACTTCGTTTGTATATACCTACTATCTAGCCACCTATACATACTTCACCTTTTAAAATCGATCAAAAATTCCCATTTTTCTTTAATTATTTGTTGTTTTACATAACACTATTGAATAGGTACTGGGAAATTTAAATTTTTACCTCTTGAACGCACCAACTACATTCACTTTCCTATTCAGAAAAGATACTGAAGCAGAAAATCGGAGCATTTTTACTGCCCAAAAAGTTTATGAGACAAAAAAAACACATAGATCATTGTAAAATTAATACATTTTTTCGTTAAGCTCAAAATCTAAAAATGTAACACTGGTGTCTGTGTCAGTTAAAACGACGTGATACCCGGATGTGTTGTCTCCGTCTTACAAGTGTGTAACTTAGTAAATTTTACGCTCAGTAGAACAAATGTAGCTCCGTTAGCTTAAAAATTAGAGTGAATTTACCTCTTATAAAATGTCAAGGTAAGATCTAGTAAGTATTATCTAGGCAACCTCGTGAGCTTTTTATTATATTTTAAAGCGAGTTATGAATACCTATTTTAAAATTGCAAATTGTTTGTACGTTGGATTTCCACCTGATTTCTTATAATAGGTATAACAATTTTTTTATTTTATTTTTATTAAAACACGATTAATCATAGATACAAGTATTATATATTATTTTATTATTTAATATACCTATTGTAATTTAATAATATTAATGAATGGCAACATTATATGACAACACAATATTAATTATTGACAACAATTTTATATTGATATAATTATTATTATTTATTTATAGAACTTAGGTTTAATATATTGATAATTTTCTACAAGACCCACAATATTAATTATTGATCTTTTTGTTTTGCCCCAAAAAGGCAAGGATACAATTTTGGTTGAAAAAGAAAAAGTAAGTTTTTGGTCAAGTTGAATATATAAATACTAAATACACAATTTTCCTGAAGTTAAAATGTTGACAAGTCATAATAGTAACTAAAAGCGGTAGGTTCTCTATACCCCCTTCACCATGCCACAGGAATGAACTATAATATTAATGAATAAAAATTGTACTAATGTCACAATTTTTCAAAATGTATTTTAATGATTTGTGTGTTGAAATGTCAAAACAAAAGAAATATGTCAATAGTTTTATTGTTTAAATCAACAGAATATTCTCTTTATAAAATAATATTAATTACAAAATATTGATGTGTTACATTTTTCAATTTCTTTTACAATAAAACCACCTTGTATATCTATATCCTCGATGAACGCATCTAAATTAAATTCAACCTGTTTTATACTATTTGAAGACTTGATTAATTTCTGACCATTGACAT